GTATTCATTTCAGACTGATTCAGAGAGCTACAGCCCAGAGCAGCCTGCGTCTGTAGGAAATGTTTCTGAGATTACAGTTGCCGGGCTGATGGGTGTAAACACAGTGGCAGATGGTGAACGACCGAGGCCTGCGCAGCAAAAGGGGTACAGTACAGGGGGGAAATCTTGGCTGCTCTTCGCCACACTGAGCTCTTTTGTGGTATACAGTCTCCATTACAGAGCCAAGAGTCCACATCAAGAGATAACATTGATTTTGAAGTCTCCAAAACTCAGCCTTAAGCACAGAAATTTTTCGCTTCTCCAGCAGTGAAATTATATTGTTATTTCTCTGTTTTGAAATCATGGGTGGGAGGGGAAAAAACCCCTACATGCTATTTGCATGAGTCATCTCTTAGTCCTCTGATTGCTAGGAAAAAGAAAGTGGAGTTGGTTCTGCTCACTAATTTTGAGTGGCCCGACTGATAAACAACTACAAATGCACAGATGAAAAAGGGAAACAACTGACTATGACAAGTGAGAAGAGAGGATTTCTGGCTCAGAACGGATGGATCCGTCATGACTTATAGAGCTCATTACACTGCGAAAGCATGTGTCCTTTAATGTAGCTTTCCCTTTCACTGTCAATACAGACTTCTTTTTGTTAGGAGAGCAGTTCAAAGACATCGGAAACATAGCCATGAACATTTCCTGAACGTCGTCACGGTTAGTACTAACTTGTGTAAACAGATTGAATTTGCATCTAGGAGACAGAAATTGGATGTAAGTGAGCTCTCATTGGGATATTGCTTTTTTTTTTTTTGCTTTCTTGCTACATGGCTGCCTCCTTTGTGAGAGAGTTTGTTTGGGTTTTCTTCCTCCTCTACTCTGCCGACATGTCACCTATATAGAGATTAATGACTTCCTCGCTGTCCCAGATCCACTCAGCCTCAACAAGGGAGGAGAGGGGCGCAGCCAGATGCCCGCAATACCGTAGCAACATGCAGGTCCCACCCGTCGATGAGCAGATTGTGCTCAGGGAATCCCCCACAGGATGGACCCAACCCAAGCCAACTTCCATTGTTTTCTCCTCATATATACACACACACACACAATCCCTCTACACCCACACTCATGAACACACACACACACACACACACACACACACACACACACCTGTAACATAGAAAAATAGGCCACCTGGCTAGCAGCATTCCTCAGACACTTGATCCTGCTGTTTGAGACTTCAAAAAAAGTTTTCATGAGATGAATCTCGTTAAAACCATACATCTTCGTCTCCCACACGTAAAGAAAACACATCTAGAGCCATGCTAACATGCTGATGTTTAGCAGGTATGTTTACCACATTCGTCATCTCAGTGCAACTTGTTAGCATTTGCGACAGTTGCTAATTGGCTGTAAAAACATAAGTACAACTGAGGCTGATGGGAATATCATTAATTTTCCAGTGTATGGTCATTATTCAAATTTTGACCTGATGATGGTGCTAGATGGTGGAAGGTTATGCCATCACCAGGCCAACCTCATGGTGGCACTACAGGTAAAGTAAGGGGATGCCCAGAATCAGAAGGATTAATCCACTCAGGCAGTTCATATAACAGTTGTTGAGCTATTTCAGTTTGGATCAAAGAAATTATTTTCCCAATATCCTATCTGATGCTGTTCTCAGTTAGCCTTTCCAAAGCTGTGAAACCGCAGTTATTCTGTCGGAGCACATTTTGCTTAGTGCCACCCCCTCAGTTAGTCAAATGTCTGAGGTCAAGCATGTAATTTCAGAAGTCGGACGCTGTCTGCCACTTTGTTCAATCACTTGGTATTTACTGCCTGTAAATAAACACAGGTGCCCCATGTGTGGGAGAGGCTGCAGCCTGAACGCAATCGTTCCCTGATGAGTGCAATTTCTGCCACCACAAAGGATGAATTCATACAGGTGGAAAAAAACTGAGTGTTAAGGACAATGAAAGGACAGTGTTTTATATCCTGGAGTGTGGGAAGTAATCAGTGCAGAATAGGAGCTATTTCACCCTCAGCTGGGTTTTGCAAATACAGTTACTGCTTTGTTATTTTTAAAGGGCAGATAGTTTTGTTTAACTGAAAGTATATTTGACTCACCGGTGATGCCTAGACTCAACAACGATTAGTGGGCACTCCTATTTTGGGTTCAAATTGTCTCAAAAACAACAGGAAACAGAGGGTGGCTGATAGAAAGCTGTTTCCATACCACTCTCACATGTCAAAATGTCAGTAATAGGTTGATTAGCACCCCAGCTTTGTTTTAAGGGTGATGGAAAACCCAAGACTCACCTCTTGCACACAATAACACAATGGACAGTGTGTCTACAAACACAACCTGTCTAAACAGCATATACAGTGGGCCTAACTATGTTTATTCAGTGTATTCATTGTTGTAGTCTATAGAAGCTCATCAGAAGGTTGCAGTGATTGAAGCATAAACTGTGCTTTATCCTGATCCCTCTAAGAGCCACCTGGCAGATGGTGGATGAATTGAATGAAATATTTACAACCCATATACACCTTCAAAAATGTGTGACCCCCAAATTGTATGGAAACCCTCTGCAAAGTCCAACATGAGCAGATTAGACATAAAAATTAAGCACATTTGCGCGATCGCAATCCACTCAAAGCTCTCACACCGAAACAGATTGGTTGCAAGATTATGTCCAAACAGTGGAAGCCATTGTCGGGCCGCAGCTACCACTGAGGGCGCTGAGGTCATGTCCTCTGGTTTTTCTGGGAATTTGTTTTAGCAACTGGGGTTGTTAACCTTGTATAATTAGAAATTTACACATGGTAGGTATTTAATTGGCTGGATATACTCAAATTGACTACTCTAAAGCCAACATCTACTATTTTCAGACCAGTTTGTTTCCTGAAGTGTGTGCATTTGGGGGGAAATCATGACCTCAGTATCTTTAAAATTCTGGGTACTGCTGAGGGGAAATGTCTGATAAGAAATCTCAGCATCTTGAGGTGTAGGTGCACAATTCATGAAACTTTCAGTTGTTATATACACCAAACACAAATCCCAGACTCGTCACTATGTAAGAGGATCTTTAGGTCAAAGAGTACCAACAAATAATATGGGTAAACAACCTTTTTGGCACATTGTGAATAAAGGAGCTTTTGTATTTTTCAAACACTTGCCAACAAGTCAATAAAAAAAGAGAAGCTGAATTTCACAAATGCTGTCTAGAGCACAGACAGAGTTGTGTCACTTACTAAATGTCAGATAATAACTGAAACATAAAACACACACCTCAGGAAATTCCCCACCTGAAGGGCATTCAAATGATTATATAAATCAACACCAGTGTCTGTTAGACTCCTGTCTGTCTGTGCTGAAGCTCAAAACATTCAAGGTATAAACTTACATGAGCCAACGCTGATATATTCTGTATTGGGTTGTTTTAGAGCCTAGTCTGAGCCAAAAAGAATTTGGATATGGTTTCCTCATTGCTGAAAGCATAAATCCACCAAAATGACCCAAACTGCAAGCATATGCTTTCAAATAATCCTGAATAATCCTTTGGATTAAAAGACTGCTCTCTCTCTCTTTAAAGTGGACACGGAGCAGCAGAGATACAGTCATCTCCGCCCAGCTGGAAAACACAGACTATGATGACCTACATTATTGTACAGTGGGAACAGGCTCCAGAGACCTCGAGCGTGCATCTCGACAGCCCAGCCCGCTCCAGCTTCAAGGCACAGGTTTAAAAAAGCAGACAAAAGAGTTCCAACCTAGATGCACAGAGGACTGTATGTTAAACACAGCGGCTGCAGATTAGCACACAGTGTTCCTGGAGGGCCCTCCCTCTGTTCCCTGCCTTTGATATGTGGCACAACCTGCCACCTCCAGGGGCAAGGCAGACTCAAGGGGAATGTTAAACGGTCCTTCCCTTTGAGATGAAATGTTCAATATGAATCATTGATGACCCCCAACTCCCCCCCAACCACCCAATTCTGATACCTTCCGGCTAAGATAACCCAGCAACACAAATGTTATGCTCTCATTAAGAGCACCTCTGCTAATTAGAGGCTAATTCATGGCAGACTGGTTTAATAGTGGCTGAGCATCACAGAAGAGGAGGCGGCTGTGCTCTACACTTCACTGTGCGCTTCACTGGCTGCAGAAAAGAAGAATTATTGCAGAAATTGATACGATATTGCACTCCCCCCCGATTCAACTCTTGTTTGATATCTCTGTGAATGAGTACATGTGTGGTTAGGTAGAGGCAGAGTGTATGTGCCTCTCCTTATTAGTACCTGAAAGTGTATGTGTCATTTAGATGTGCAGAGCACAGCCCTGATACCTTAGCCCTGTCCAGCCATGCCCAGAGGCATAAACACATTATTTCAATAGTTTTCTGTTTGCTGACATGTGTCTGGCCTCTTCCCTCCTGCTACAACCATAACCTAATGCCACATCACAACAGCACTGGAGCACTTTGCAGCATAGAAGCTTTAGATACAGCTAGGTGCTGAAATTAATATTGGGATCTTTCCAGTGTGATGCATTCAATTAAATATGATTTTTTTTGTAAGATCCAATTCGCTCTGGAATGTACTGGACTGCCCCCTCCTCCTCTCAGTGACAGCAACGTGACTGCCACTGGCTCTGCAGTCGATTTGACGCTTTGACGCTTTATTAGAGCGTCGGGAGGTGTGACAGATCAGGCAGCCTGATTGGTCCAGTACGTTTAACAGCCACCGTGAACGTCCAATCAGAGGCCGTCCATCTCGAGCGTTCGCGATGTCGTGTGTAATGGGAACATCTCGAAATAGGCTTTTATTAATGATCAACTGCAATTGTGGTTTCGATGTTATGTTCTACTAACTCATATCAGAAGGCTCCTTTTTTTAATTAAACATGTGTACACGAGCTGAATTTACTGATTAAACCTGTTCAACCAGAGTAAAAGAGGACTTTTGCGCCCCCGTGGCACACAACTGCAAAGCGCTCAACTACACGGAATCAGACCTACCCATCCCCCGTTATCTTGTATCCAGCTGTTCAGAGGTCCATTTAAATACTCAGTCATCCACTCCGCGATGTTGTTCACCTGCGCTGCCATCTCCTCCTTCGCCACGCACTCCACGCACACCGTGCCCCCGAACTCGAAGAAAGCGATAATCCGGCCCCAGTTCACCCCGTCCCGGAACAGTTCGTCTATCACGTCGGCGAATCTCCTCTGCGCCGTGGTGGAGGTGAGATACAGCTGCCGCGACATCTCCGTGAAGTCCGGCTGGTACAGTCTTTCAAGTTCGTCTCCAGCCTCGCGTAGGACTCTGTGGATGGCGGCATGCGGGTCGGACTGGGGGAGCCGTGTGCAGAGGTGGGGGATGCTCTCGCTGTCGGGCCCGGTGCTGGCTCCACGGCACCGGCGGACCAAACTCGGTGGAGGGGCAACTATTGACCCATTATTACCGGCATCTGCATTCCGGACAGCGTCAAACCCCCACTCGTAGCCCTGTTTGGAGAGTTTATGGCAGATATACTTTTCCACAATGTTGCGATTACACTCGTTCGCCATTCCGGCTTAATTTGGCACTTTGTACAGTCAGAGGTTGTCCTAAATAAAATGCATTATGCTCGAATTTGCGCACTGTACGATGCACAGCACAGGCTTATCCAAAAACTCGATTATATTAAGATAGAGGCAATGCAACGAGGGATCCCACACAGGGAGAAAAAGGCTCGTTAGTTGGGGGAAAAAACAAAACAAAAAACCTCTTGATCAAAACTGCGCAAAAAAACGTTTCAAAAGTCCAAAAATACTGAGTCCGTGTCAGCAGCAGTTTTCATTTCCGAATCCTTGGAGATACACTGGCGACCTTCTCTTTGCAGAAATCCAATATGCGGAAGAGGTTGGAGAAGTGTTGATCTATTCCTGTGCACATCATCCAGACGTGGATGTGTTGCGAATAAAAACATGAATGAGGGCCAAAGTTGTACGCGCCCGAAGGGGCTTTAAACGCCGCCAACTATTTTAGCAGCGTTTACGCACAACGAGGCGCGGGACTGTGAGCCAGACAAGGTCGGACTGAGTCCTCTCCCACGATTGCTCCTCATATCCTCCTCACAGCTCCCTGCCCACTATACAGAGGGCCGCGCTCTGCTGGTGAGCTATTCCTGACGTCAGCTACGCAAACTAATTCCTTTGGCTGCGCTCGGAGACTCCAAGTGCATATGAAGAACTGCACTGAAAATCATCGTTAACAGCCCCGATTCTCATGATTGCGCGTTTACACATTCAATTCTATGGCTGAATTTCAGACAAGTTCGCCCGGGCTCACCTAGAGATGTGCCAAGCAGAGCTCTTAAAGGGGATCCTTGTTAATTCATAAGGAGCACAGGAGCCTCCCACTCTGCTGAGAGGCTGCTTTGATGTGGTCCAGCCACCCCCTTGTGGATGAAGTTCCAACCTTGCGGTACAAAATTGATGTGCCTGTATACGGTTTCCCTGGGCTCTTTGATTCCATATCTAGTGTCTATCTACCCTGCATGCCTTCTTATTCTCTGATGGGACAACAAAGCGTCTAAAATCCTGTTTTCTGCGAATCTGAGAGATGCTGCTCTTAAAAGTTCTGTCATGGAAGATTAAAATCTCATCTCCTTAAACAGAATACTTAAATTCCCATTGCCCTCCCGTAGTTTTATAAAGTGGCATAAAGCAAGATGAAAACGGCTGTGACAAAGCATCAAGGGCAGTTTAAGAAGAGACACAAATAAATCTGACACCACCAACATCCATCGACTCTTAAAGACACTTAAAGAGTGAGACTAGGAATTCTGTTTTGTTTTTCTTCACAGGTATTTATTTAGTTTATCATGTAAGAAAATAAGACAAAGAAACGTTCCACTTCTCACATTTTCTTTCAATGGCACACAAGGTGAAGGTGTTAAGTTTTTTGGCAGAAAAAAAAAGTAAACAAGCAAGAAAGAAGAATGAAACAAGAATGCATTATGACTTCCATGTTCAATACTTAATAACTCAAGTATCTGATGCTGACACCATTAAATAGGGGAAACTAGCGTGACTGTTACAGAACTTACATCTTGACTGTATGTTGAAACATACTGTAAGCATAGGCTTCATTTGCATAGCTTAAAGGTTAAAACAAAACTGCTTTTATATGGGCTACATGTTCTATCAACTACGTGTTGCTACCTCAAGGTAAAAGAGAACTTTTGATGGCAATAAATGTACAATTATGAAAAGCTCTTTGAGTGCAGGACAGTATGCCTTTAACCAATATCAAATGAGAACATCATCCAACATGAGTCATCCATTCTCACTTTCATATCTTGGATATCAGTAAGGCTTCTTTTTGTGACTGGAAATAGACAAAATACACAAAACAGCCGGCGTTTTACACTGAAAAGTATTAAAGATTAAGTATTAAATCAACTGGTAAACAACATGTAGGTTAAGCCACATTGTTCTGTGGACAGGTCCATTCTTATAGCATTAGCTTCATCAGTAGTCACGTCTTAAGGCTTAGAATGGGTCCCCACTCTGCTCCACAGCTTTAACAAACTAACTCTAAGATCAACTGAGCAGCAACATCAAAGTAAATCTCAAATAAATGCATTGCATCTACAGAAATTGTCTTAACACATTTTGGCATTCAAATATTGGTGTATTTAAAAATAATATTTCTATGTTCTGATTTGTATGATTTGTATTAAAGTACATTCTCCCTGTTTATGATGGACCAAAGGAAGACTTTCAAGAGTCAACACTGTACTTTCTTTCTCCCTCTATATGCAAAACATATAGAAAAAAAAAACATATGGTGAATTCAAGATTTTTTTTAAAGGCTTGACAGAAATCAGGAGGGAATCGATATTGGCATTAACGGAGCTACAAAGTCCCGAGTGTGCATGACAGGTTGACAGCAGGTCAAAATCAGAGGGACAAAGATCACACTTCCATGCTAGTCCCTCTAGGCTTTTATGTAAAACAAATCTCTAGCGCCCTCACTAGACCCACAGGGACATGACTTGAACCAGCAAGTCTTGCCCTGCCCCTGACTTACACCACCCCAACAGATTATGGATCCCACTTGGATCTTGACTGGGGTGGCTGAATATGTGCACTGACACATAAAACTGCATGTAAAATTGATACGCTTCCTTTTATACATTAAATGAAGAATAGTGTTTTCAACTTGGTCCAATTCACAGGTAAAAGGGGAACTACCTGTGCTGGTTTTACCCCCCCACCCCCCCCAATATCTTTTGACTTTTGACTTCATGGCTTCAACCCATAGTACCTGCTTTCCTTTCTCAATCAGATAAGAAGGGGTGATGAGAAAATAATTTGGTGTGTTTATTCCCGAGACAATAAAAATCTAATGGCTTTTCTCTCCCCAAGGGAAGGCTCAGTCATAGCAGACACACACACGCATTCATGCACACAGCTCACCCAAAAATCTTTACCCGAAGTGTCTACATTTTTTGAATATTATTATTTTCTGAAAATTATGTTTTTGCATTAGTAAAATTTAACAAACAATCAAACACTTCACACATGCTCGCTCTCTCTCTCTCTCTCTCTCTCTCTCTCTCTCTGATATCACTGAAGAGTAACACTGTATCAAATCTTGGCTTGGTTCACACACAGCACAAAAACAAAATATCCCACAGCATAAACAAAACGCTGAGGGTCACAACTGGTTTCAAACACAGAGGTTATTCAGTCAAACAGGAAGATGCTTTGCCTGCAAAGACTTGTGGTATGAGAGGGAGGGAGGGCCCCTTTTGGTGGAAACTGTAAAATTCGATGTGGACCTAGTTTTGAAATACATGGAACAATATGACAAACGTTGAAAGTTACCATTCTGGTTTTCAATATAGCCCCCTGTGGGAAGGAACTTAAAGCCATATTTGGCACAACCGGTCAGACAGGCTATCTGTTGCTTTTCCTCTCTATGAGAAAACAAAACACAGCACTGTGTGAGTGAAGGCAGGGAGGCCTGATATCTGTCATTTTTTTTTACAAAGCCTACATACTTTAAAACTAGCTTACGGGATGTTTAGTCTGCCCTCACTCCCTTAAAGTAAGGCTGCTCCCACAAAAAGAAGCAGGTGTACACATTAAATGGAAAAAGTCACTGGAATGCTTTGAGAGGAAAAATCAAAACAACTGTGAAGTCTATGGAAGAGTTACATCACTGGACAAGCAAAGAGTAAACATCTGGCACTTTCTTTCATCCAATCTATTAAGTTGATATCTAAAATACACTCAAAGCGTGGCCTTTTTCCCACCTACGGTTGTGCACTAGTACAGGCTGGAAGAGGGGATGGGACGGGGCTGTGTGTGTGGAAGAGTAGGGGCATTGGGCTGTGAAGAGGGTAAGGCTTGCTGTTACTCCCTCTTGTCAGCTGCTTTCGACTGCTCCCTCTGAATCATGCAGCGGCGCACAATGCTGTCGAAACTCCCCAGGTAGAAGAGGGCGATGGTCCGAAACAATCCCATGGTAACAATCTGACCAGAAGAAAAATTGGAGGTTAAAATTTTGCAAAATACTTCTTCGGCCAATGTGGCAGTGTGATGTAGCTGCTGTTTACCTGCTGGAGTCCTTCTGTGATGGAGGTGACAGGTGACATTCCACAGGTGAGGGCTGATAGCATGTAGCCATCAGGTCCCACAGAGCTGTTGAAGTTTCCCTGCTACAGGAGCAAAGGAAATAACAACAGATTATCCATCTCCCTCCAAAATCATTTAGTTCATATTTAAAATTAGACAAGAAGATTGGTGGGTCAGTGGCAGGTGAACTGGATTTCTTACCACTGCATCCCGAACAATGATTTTGGCCACTTGGTCTGGTTGGCAAACTCCAGATGTTTCAGAGATTAATCTGGTCTCTAGAGGCTAGTAGAGGAAATGGCTTGTGTAAGTGAATTGGAAGTGAAATTGTGTTACTATGTATTGTGGTAAAGAGATTTTTACCTTTGTCTTATTTTCCTCAGCCAATCCTGGTGTGTCGGTGTCAGGGGGGTAGGCCACAGTCACATAGATATTGTATGGCTTTATCTGGAACAGAAGAACAGCAGCTTTCACTGAGCATTATTTCCTACCATCAGCAACAAAAGTGGTGGAAAAATACCAAGAGAGAGACCGATAGTTCACCTCCATCTGCAGCGACTCTGCTAAGCCACGCAGGGCAAACTTGGATGGGGAGTAGGCAGTGTATCCAAACAGGCCGATCTGGCCTGCTTGTGAGGACACAAACATGATGCGGCCCATTCTTCGCTCCTTCATGGTGGTTATGACGGCCCGTGTTGGGTAAACGCTGCCCAGGTAGTTCACTTCCATCAGTTTCTATTGGAAACAAGGCAAAAGTTCAAAACTATTATAACGTGATTGACAGTAAAACAGCGCTGCATAAATGTGGACACACATTTCACAGCCTGAATACTGTTGCAGTTTCTCTAATTAACTATTTGCTACTGATTGCAATTTGTTTTAAGGATTACCTTGGCATTTAATCTGTTTTTTTAAAGCTTTTCTGTAGGTCTAGTGTTTAAGAGCCTGTTATATCTACAAATACCACAGGTTCCATGGAGTCAGCCATATTGAAGCACAATGTTTCTACAGTAGTTCAGTAGGGTCAAACCACACACTGGCTCTAGATATGGGTGTTTGCATTTTGTCCGCGTTTCACAGCCACCGTTATTTCTCCTTTGTGCTTGGAAGGGGAGGGTGAAATGAGGGGGTTTCAATTTGCAACTACCCGGTACACGGCACTAAATCCTACACACTGGACATTTAACATATGTCCTTACTCAAATTAACTTGTTAAAACCCAAATATTATAAATTCATAAACTGATCTCCTTTTTTATTCTGACTTTGTTTTTTCTTAAATCATTCAGGTGTAAATATGAGTAGTGAATATTTTTTTTATTTAAATGGGTTCTAGTACTATTCAGAGCAGCTTATTGACTTCTGATCATTCACAAGAAACACTCCCTGGTACCTACTTTAAAACGGTCCACTTCCACTTCTTCAAACTTTCCAGAAAAGGCTGTTCCAGCACAGTTCACCAACATATCAACAGGGCCCAGCTTCTCTTGAGCCTGCACAACAGGAAAAGGCCACTTCAATATACTTAAGCACTGAATTATTAAAGAAAAGCCGTTCCATTGTTGCTAAGAGGGTAACATTACCTGTTTTATCACACTTTCCACCTGGCTATAATCACTGGAAACATCCACTGATATGCAGAGCACCACCTGAGTAAGGAAATCGTACACAATCTTATGTAATGTAATAGAAAATGCCATCATCTGCTATACCCTATATTAATACAGTATTCAGTCATAACAGTTGCATTAAAACAATATCTGAAATGTAACATATTTTAGTAAAATAAATACTAAACCCATACCTGCTTGTCATTGATGGCAAATTTCTCCACCTCTTTCTTTGCTTGAAGCAATTTAGCCTGAGGGACAAAGTGCATATTTAATCTGTTAAAAAATCTTGTGTAAACTCTTAGGAATGTCATCGGGTTTCACCTTTGAAACTACCCAAAAAGATGTAAAAACTTCAGAACAAGAATGCTCACATGCAGGCGGACTGTACAACACCAAAGTCAGATTAACACGTGAATGGAACAAATTCACCTTTAGAATATGTTTTGCTGTGTTTGACATCAAACGAGTTAGCTATAACAACAAACAGGTTGTGACCAGGCTAGACACAAAGGAATGATTGGTTGAATGTGGTTTGTGCTGACCTCATCCCGTGCCACCAAAGTGATGAATGCTCCTTGCCTGTAGCACTCAACAGCAATGCATTTCCCAATCCCACTTGAGCCGCCTGTCACCTAAAAATTTAAATGGTAAGAAGATCATTAATCAAAAAGTCAAATGTTGAGTAGTTGATCTGCAACTCATAGGCTCCAATTATGTTTCCATAATGTTATGAAACTTAATAGTTACAGATGTGCAAGTCAGTTCTTCCATGGTGTTACCACATCTGCATAATGAAATGTATCTAACTAAACTCAGTTGACGATTTATTAGGTACACCAGCTTAATAATAATGTAGTCTGACGGTTAAAATGTCCAGTTTTTGCTTTAAAGTTTTATAAAGGGTGTTTATTCAACTTTATAGTCGTTTTGGAGGCTGTAGTTTGAAGTGATGTTGTAATATATTCCGTTATGTTGAGCGGAGTTTCTAATATTTAGCTCTGTGACATAACTGTTAAGTTGAATAAGAACCTCTTAATACATCTGTTTCAAGTAAACCTTCACTGGGGGCAGGATATAACGTTATATGGTAACGTTAATAGGTTAAATGTAGGAGTACCTATGAAACTGGTGACTAGCGTTAAGTGATGTTAGCGTTAACTCAATCAGTGGGCGTGACACTCCTCTTAACTGTCGTTATAAATTAGGAACAAAAAATAGATTTTCATGTCAAACAGTTACGACTATTAGCTATAACAATAGTGCTAATAGGCACAACATTACATATCGTGACTTAATTACGTAAACTCAGCTAGAGTTAGCAAGTTTCGTTAGAATCTAGAGCTAGCTATAAAGCTACAGTCATGAGTGAACGTTAGCTACCGTTACCAGCTCTACTAGCGAAGTCGTTAGCGTTAGCAATCTGGTGCACTTACCACGACGTGGGCCCCGTTCAGTTTCAATGGTTTGGGACTAATAAGAGGCGATATCATGTATAACAGCAACACAAAAGCCACAATGAAGGCAGCAACTACAAGAAGCATGATGAATGGCAGAAGGAGCCACCAGGAATTGATGAAAAGCCAATCCGTGATCGTTGAGCTCAACCCTTCTTCAGAGGACATGGGTGAAATCAGGCAATCGTTAGCTTGTTTGCTAACTAGCAGGCCAGCTTCTGGGGTCCGATAACGGAGCGACGAGGTAGGCGCTGGCCCGGAAAGGGGGTGGCGAAACACGGACGCCGGAGGAGGGGTTGTTCCAGGGTTCGTCAGTAAGTCAAAGATGTGTAACGGCCAGGTTAGAGTGCCGCGGTGGACTTCGGCTCCCCGTGACAAAGCGCAGTCTGCATAAACCAAAACAAATCGAACTGTGCACTGAAAACGAACGTCTAACCGTCGTACCTGGTACTTGTAGTTCTCAAGTCGGAATGTTTCTCGAGAATCCCAATATTGCTTTGGGGTGTATTGACAACAACTCCCACAATGCAATGCTCCGCTTCCTGATTCGTCGTATCCGTTACAGTTGACAACACAGCCACCGTATGCTGACGGTTGAGACAGTAAACACTGGCTATTTTAAATTGTGTAACCTTTATTTATCTCTATTGTAAATATTTGTAAATAACAAGTCGTAAATTTGTTACAAAAAAGTAAACCGCTTTTCTTGACGTAGCTAGAACTTTTATTTACATTATGGAAATGCAAAACAGAAAATCTTATGCATGGGTGGCCTTTTGACAGTGAAAAGGCTCAAGAGTAGACTATATGTATAGACATTTACAGTAAAATAAGAGATGTTCCCCATCAAAACTCAAAAGAGACAGTTTCACACCTTAGGAGCAAACGAGTACAGTTGTATACAATCTCTAACAGAGCTTACATGAAATGTGCAAGTATACATTTCTTAGTTGTAGTGACAAAGCACTGGATATATATGCAGTATGACCAATTTAGAAATAAACCAATAAAATAAAAAAAAGAATCTTGCAGCTTTTCTAGAAGGCACATGGTGCACACTGACATGTAAGGCTACATAAAGTTCATTCTTGGAAATGCATTCTTATGTAGGAAAGTATACGAGAAGATGATCTCTCCACCTGAGCTATCAGTGTCAACACCTCCAACTTCAACACCTCAGTCTTATTTCATAAAAAAAAATCCACAATGTGACTTTATCTTAGAATAAGGCTTAGTTTTTTGCAATTTGTATTCAGGATAATCAGCAAAGCCAGTGTGGATAGTGATGGAAAATATGTACATTAGATTGTGCAACCAAAAAAAACAAAAAACGAGCTGAGTGATAAAGTCATTCAAAGTTATTGAGTCCTTGTAAAATAATGCTGGTCTGGCACCACTGGTGATCCACTATAATAGTTATGTTCAATTCAAATGACAAATGAGTAAACAAATAGAGTTGTCATTTGTTAGGAAAATGGATAAACAATCCAAAAATTTCCACCCAGACCAATGCAGCTCTCATCCTGAGTGTCTCTGTCTCAAAACTTTAAACATCCACCACCTTGAGACATCTGACATATTTCACCAAAACAAATCCAATGAACTCATGCCATGCTTTGCTCCCCCAGCCCAAGATTTAGACATTGCACAAAGTACAGTATACTCTATAAAATGCTTGTTTTATTCTTAATAGAAAATAGACATATGGGTATTTATTAGTCTAATGAGATGTATTCCGACTGTAAAATAAGGACACCAGAGTTAGTCCATGCTTAAAATAAATTATATTGATTTCAAAAGCCTCATTTGCAATAATTATTGTGTATGTCTGCCATTAGTTTCTTTAAGTTGCTTGGGTAATCTGCTCATTAATACCTTTAGTCTTTAGTGCATAAGTCAAACAACCCTCTAAATTCTCTATGTTGTCCTGATTCTTTTGTCAGGTCAGCTGCAGATGGGAAGTCTTTAATCTTCTTTGGACAATGGTGAATATCGAATAAAACTAAATCTTCCACCCTTTGTGTGTAATCTTGCCATTTATGACAAATGACAAACTGCAAGGCCTGATGAATGATTATGATGAGACAGAGACATAAAAACAGGACAAGGACAGTAAAGAGAGACAATCACAATTCCTTTGCTTTGGTTTGGCTTGGCTCCAACACGCCACCTAGCCTTCCTGTCCAAAGTCCTCTGTGAATTTTTTCAGTTTGTCCAGATCTTGTTCATTGACTGTTGGCTTTGTGTTGGCCAGAGACCTCATCATGTCAGACTGAAAAGACAAAAAAAAAACAGTGTTACGGTGATATGATACTAAATTGAGGGCTCTAATATTCATTTATAATACCACCTAGTATTTTATATCCTCACCATGCAAACGATAGGCTCCATCAGCTTCTCTCCAGGGACTTCCATCCATGTCATTTCAATTGCGTTGGGATCGCCAGGTGAGCAAGGAGTCAAGAGGTCATCTACAAGACTGTTGGGGTCAGTTCTTGATGGACCTCGTACCTTATTTAAACAAAATATAAGAAAGGAAACAAAAGCGACACTTAGTCCACTACAACATGTTACACTGAGGCATAAAACACAGACAGATATTTTTAAAAGACGTACCCGTTTGAAGTGGGTTGCTGACTGGACTTTTCGAACAGGCTGCATTAGAGCGTCTCTGACAATGACACTGATATCTGCTCCCGAATATCCATCGGTCTTCTTGCCCAGAGTAGAAAAGTCTGATTCGGTGAGACTGTTGGCGGTCGAGCCCAGATGGAGCTTGAACATGAAGGAGCGGGCGTGCTCCTCAGGCAGCGGGATATAGATCCTCTTCTCAAATCTGAGAAGATATTATTGGTGTACAGTGAGCACAAGTGAATGAAAACATATTTCCTTATGTAATAATTATCACCAAGTAATAACCATTACCTTCTCCTGATGGCTGAGTCTAGGGTCCATGGGATGTTTGTTGCTCCAAGTACCAGCACTCCTTCGTTGTCATTCCCCACACCTGCAAAACAAAACAGTCAGGGTTAAAAACTAGGGGTTTCACAGAATAGGCGACTATAAAACCAGTAGGTGACACTATGCATCAGTGTAGACCAATAGTTTATCTGTAGTTTTAGCACAGTGCAGGTAAAATCTTTTCTCATCATGGAGCTGCGTATTCATTTGCTTAGCCCCTTCTTGTCCCGTGGGTCTCGTTCTCCCTCTCTTACATACACACAAACACAGTCAACACGTCAACGCAATAACCCCCGGGAGCTTTATTTGGTCTTTTTAAAAAGCTAAACTTTTTACTGCTAAACTGACAAATCTAGCTCACTGTTTTTCTTCTTTGTGTTCAGCCTCTGTAGCTCTCCTCTCTCTCTCTCTCTCTCTCTCTCTCTACACAAGTTACGCACAGGAATATGACATACTGACTGTGACTAGGCGACTAGTTTTTGTGAGCCCATGATCACTACTTAAATACATTTATTATTAAATGATGATACTATGTTGCTTTCACTGACACATCATGGTGCCCTCTAGCTTTCCATAGATCTGTGATCACATGTTACATTACAGGGCAGGGGCCCTGATCTGGTTGTTTACCAAGATCAATATTGATTATAGATAAGCAACCTTCACCTACGTATCACTTATTGCACGAGTATTGAAATGTACTGCACAATATTTTAAAATGTTTATGATTTTGGGTCCATATCATATGAAGTCTATTATGGATAGTGCTTCTATTATACACATTATTCACTTTGAATGAGGATGTAGTTTGAATATGTATTTTAAGCTAACATAGAAAGTAGCTCTAACTTCCTCTTACTTTTAAAAAGTCACTGCTGTGCGTGAGTTAAAAACATGTTGTGATTCTGACCACACCTAAATCAGTGATGTCACAGCAGGTGTTTTTCCCTCACCTGTCACAGAGCATATCTGCTCTGACATCTACTTATGGGTGTGACCAGAATCAGCATGCTATAAAGTTTGATTAAGCTGCAGCAGACAAGCCATTAATATGAAACTTTTGGCAGCCAACAACCTCAATATTTTAAGGTTGCCCGAAAGTACCTTCTAGTCACCCACCCACAGCAGCTCCAATTTTCTCCTGTGCACAGCTCGAGTTTCTGTGGCAATACATTTGTCTATCCCATGCTATGTAACTATAATGATTCCAGTGAAAATTTAGGATGCTTCACTTCACGTGCATAAACATTTTCTGCTTGAAGTACCATTTTTGATCCTACAGGCGGAATATTGCTGTAAATACGCTTATATCTTAGATGTTCAAACTATTTATCAGTAAAAGTGGGAACTGTTTCCCTGAGAGAATATATTTAATGTATCACAACATTCAGTAATTACAAACACTTGTTTTAGCTCATCAGATTTACCTTGCATCTGAACCAGGAACTCTGTCTTAATACGGCGAGCAGCCTCACTCTCGTTCTCACTTCTTGAGCCACACAGTGAGTCGATCTCATCAATGAAGATGATAGAAGGCTTGTGCTCCCTAGCAAGGCTAAAAAGATTCTTCACCAACCTGGGAAGAAAAAAGAACAAATTACATAGCAACACTGCTGGCTGCAGTACGTTTTTATACTCAACCGATCTTTGGTGGATTATTGTTAATATGGCTTACTTTTCACTCTCTCCCAGCCATTTGGAGACAAGGTCAGACGAGGAGATGGAGAAGAAGGTTGAGTTGTTTGCCTCTGTGGCGACAGCTTTAGCCAGATAGGACTTTCCTGTACCTGGAGGTCCAAAGAGCAAGATCCCTCTCCACGGAGTCCTCTTTCCTGTCAGTCGAACAAAAGGGTAATTCTGATTATGTCCCAAAAAGACCATCAATTTCACTCTGAAACAATGGTTTCATGCAATATAGATGTTTACCTCTATTATTTCATAGCAAAGTGATGAAGTAAGATTTAATACCTGTGAAAAGGTGGGGGAATTTGATTGGAAGAATAACAGCTTCTTTCAGTGCCTCCTTGGCTCCCTCTAAACCAGCAACATCATTCCATTTAATGTTTGGTTTCTCCATAACAATTGCACCTGGAAAAATACCACTACATTAGTGACGAATCTAAATGATGCCTAATTATGACAGACTGCATGCAACAAACAAATACTACAACAACCAAGTTCTGATTAAAAAAACAAACACAAAGCCTGCTGAAGGCCTAAGTCCCAAAAAGGAATATTACAAACCTGAGAGTTGATTTTGGAACTTCTTTTTCTCTGGATCATCACCTTCATCACTTTCATTCCTGGAAACATTTTTTGTTTTTTAAAATTCTAAAAAAATATATAATATATATAATTTTGTCTGAATATCAAGTAATAAAGTAATTTATCATATTTTCTATATATAAAAAACAACACTGATTTCCCATCCAGGTCTGGACGGCATCACATGAGCAGATATACCCAACTGCCCCACCCGTATACACACCCTTTGTCATCAGACTGTGACTCTTTGACAGGCTTAGAGGGAGGAGCTTTCTCTTTCTTCTTTAGATACTCCTTCAACTTTTCTGCCCTGTCCAAGTATTCAGCACATTTTGCCCGGATGCTCTGTCTGGCTTTGTCACCCTGGGCTTCATCTGTCAAGAATAAACACAAAAAAATTTACACAGAAATTATTTCAGGCTTGAGCATTTGTTCCCAAAAGAGACATCACATTTGTCTTAGCATTTCAGCAGTAAGGTACTCTGATGTGAAGGAAAAAAAAAAAAAAAACACATCTAACTATTACCTACAGAAGAAGGAACAATACATGTTCTTTGTCGTCACCATTATTATGCCAGTAAACAAAATAGCTTGCATGTCATTTGAGAGATATGAAGCCACAACAAGCTACAGGCATGTCAAGGATTATTATCAGATTGTGCTTCCTGTTGTGTGTCATTATTAGACTGTGTACACTGTGGACTTAATGCCAATATGCTGTTTTATGCCTTACATTTCACCACATGAAGGAAGTACTGAACAGCAGATTGGTACAGTCGCAGAGCCTCTTCATAGTTCTGAGCTTTATCCTCCTGAGCCGCCTTGCTGGCAAGATCAATAGCTTTCTATAAAAACAGAGACACAGATCAATGTTAGTTACACTCACACCTGTAGGTGCTAGAAGAGAACAGACAACTGTGTGAGGTTAATCACAAAGTCTCTGACTTGTGAAAACGTCACAACACATCAGCCAATCAAAACAAAGAACAATCAGAACAAAATGACAAACATAAGCACAGAAAGTTACGAATTAACAAAATAAAAATGACAAATACTTCAGTGAATATGTCAGTTTGGCGTCCTACATACATATAGATATATCTATGTATATATATCTACTATATGTAAAGATTGGATTGACTACTACATCTGTCCAATGTGGTGACACTACGCACACCGAGGTAGGAGTGCCTGAACCTGAATTTGGATATGCTTTCTTTCACTTCCTATTGCTTACCGTAGCAATAAAATGTAACTTTAACACAAACAGTACTTGTAATATAATCTCGACAGAGTAAACACAAAGTAATGTTGCTTTCTATTTGAGGTGGATGTCGTTTTAGATAGAGGCCAAATAAAACTAGTTAGCTAGCTAGCAGCGTTAATCCCATTAGCTGCCTTTTTCGTCAACACAAGCTCACGATAATGTTACACCGCAATGACCACCACTGCATGTACAGTAACAACGGATAACACCAGACTGCACATTACATAAACCCCACAATGCCACCTCTATGATCATCACAAGTTAGCGTTAACTGCCGAATTTGTGTATGGGTTAGCTAAGTTAGCATGCTAATTAGCAGCTAATGTTACAAACGTTACGCTATTTTACTCCGTTGGAAACATTTATACCGAACTCCACCTCACAAAGATATACCAGACATTTCCATTGGTAACAACTAGTGTACTTTTTTTCCAGTTTAATCGTAGACCCGCACAACTTTGTCAGCTTATTTAGTGAGTTAACGCCAGCCGTGTTAGCCACCTCTGGGTTTGGTCCTCAACTTACCTGTAAATTATTGTTGGTAGCCATAAGGGCTGATCACTTGTCCAACAATCGAAACGAATGTGATCCCGCCGTGGGTAAACAACTTTTAAACACACTGCTCTAGAAATTAACCTCGCAAGTTGACTTTTAACTCGACAATCGACGTTTTTCTGAAGCTTGTTTTCGTTTCTCAGATCGCTCCCGTCTAAAGACCGAGGAGGGAACTTCCGCATTAAAAGTCGATACTCGCGTGCACGGAATGTGATGACGTCAAGACGTACAGTTCAGAGTCTCTTACTTTGAAAAAACAAGTGCGTTTTTACAATTAACATTATCAATTGATTCTATTTTAAAACTAATTAAGATAAGTGGTTGATCTGGACTACATTTGTCACCTTTTTGTGCCAAATTTAATGTATTTTCTTTTTCTTATTTTCGGTTCCAGTGGCTTCTTATGTGGTGTCTTTGGTTAGAGGTTAACCCATAGCACATACCATCTACCTTTTTATGTGGGACTACAATATATGGGTTGACCAAAATAATACCGGACTATGAATGAACTATTAACCCCGTAATTGTAACATGAGACATTTTAACATGTATTTTCTATCATCCGTCTGGCACTTGAATTAATCCATCAATTAAATTTCAACTAAAAAGTCCACTCATGCTGCAGCACGTTCACACTATTGAGAACATAACAGAAAAATCCATATTTGTAAAAAAAAAAAGAAAGAAAGGGAAAAAAAGCAACCTCTTTATTCACTAGGTACTCCTGCAGTTCTTCCACTCTGTCCAGGTATTGTTTACATGTATCTCTTATCTTCTGGTTGCCATCTTTACCCTGGGGTTCACCTGATGGGAAAGAGAACATTCATTTAACACCGCTCTGTGGTGTTATTCTATCTATCCTAACAAGGGATAAGGACAGCACAACTTTCAATTGGCACATGCACACACAAATAAAAAACATTAATGGTAATTTCACTTGTAGATGCTAACGGGGCCATCAGGCAGAGACAGTGATGGACACCCATGTGCACAGACTGTTGGGGTGACCTGAATGGTTCAGTAATTGTAGGTGTGGAGACGCACGTTTTACAATGTGCAGAAAGTACTTGACAGCGTGTTGGTAGGAGCGGATGGCCTCCTCATAGTTCCCATCCTGGTCTTCCTGTGAAGCCTTTTGTGCTACGGCAATAGCTTTCTGAAAGAGCAGGAAATGAATCAATAAAACTATATGTTTCTAATAAAATCACTACATAACAGTCTGTATAGGAATCTCAAACTCAGTGAGTGCATTAATATACTAAACAGCCAAAACAAAAGTAATATAGTACAGCATTGTTATTATAGTAAAAGCAGTTAGTACCACAGATTATAAATATATCATAATCATTTATAACAATGCTTTGGAGCTGAAATTCTAAACAAAACAAACAAAATCAATGTAATTTTAATCATTTAATTTATAATAATATAAAATATAATATAATAAATATTATAATAGACAGTAAGTGTTTAGTCACTGCAGGAAGGTGTGATTCATAACAATAATCATACCAAGTGCCAGTGAGCCTACATGGACAATATCAGGGCCCTGAAGTTATTTGTAGTGTTATTATTAAACTTGGCCTTTTCTGTGATTACTGTAGAGGTCTGTCCCAAAAATGTAAATGGTCAATCACTTCAGTATTAAATGTCCGTCCAAATCTCTCTCTGATGTGACCAAATTAATTTAGTGTCTGAATCTCTGCTCAAAAGTTGTCTATGTCCAACTATCAACTCTGTTATATATAATCTGAACCCTACAGCTTAAAGTGAGTTATTAAAATTTGTATTTTTCCATATTAGTATGGAATTCCCCCGCCCCACACCTGTCAGAGGGTACCTGCCATTGTGACCAATGAGAACTACACTGCATATCAGATGTGCTATCTAGGATACAAAACCATTATAAACCTCTCAGATCACAGAAAGAATAATACAACTGGCCACAGCCCGTGCTTAAAATATTTACTTATCTGTGAATTAATCATTTCACAGACTACCACTGAATGTGTGGACTTGATGTGAATGACTATTTTTGGTCAATGATGGAGTTCAGTCAGCTCTCAACATTCAAACTAAAGAAAGTGCTTATTTTGTTTTAATAAAACACAGGAAGTCACTTTAAATGAGAACACAATAAAATAGAAACGCTGTCAAAAGGACACCCGCCAGATTACATACAGACAATAACACTCGGTGGATTTGTCCCCATCTGAGACTCCTTGTTTCACTCCGCTCCATAAACAAGCTTCCAGCCTTACACATTATTATTCATCCTACCTGTAGATTTGTTGGCTCCATGCGGAGTCCTGTGAGGGGTTACACACACAACAGAGTCGACCCGTGATCCCTGCCAGTTTTGTTTCGTTTACACGGTCGTCTGTCAGTGTACAACCAGTTCCTGTTTGCTTTATCACTCCCTCCGCACTGACACATGCGTTGAAGAAAGCAGTCTGCCCAGTCACAGGAATGGGAACGATGCTGGGACAACCCCTCCTGCCACTGAGTCACAGCGCTTCGGCTGAATGTTGTCGTGCAAGTTACAAAGACAAGACAAGTTGCTGACCCAAATAGAATGACATACATATTAACTTTCATTAAGAATCCAGACAACAAGATGTAATAAAATAAGACATTTAAGACTCGTACTTTTAACACAATATGGTAGCTCTTATTACAGAAATGCCAAGTGACATAATCCGGGATCGATGGCCGGGACCGACAAGATCTACTTCCACCATTAACTCTCGTGTGCTGACTGTGCGCTCCGCTAGAGGGCGCCCCAAGATCAAAGATCATTGTAAAAGGATCTATGCTGTTTGAAACCTGTTAACCCACTGGTGGAGTCATTTCTAGGTTTGGAGCTGGCTATAAGGGATAATACTATTATATAAAAACTTAAAAAATATAAGAATAAAGATGAAAATAATAATATGCCTTAAAACAAGATTATACAGTAGGCCTATGTGTATAGAAGCTTAACCAGCTTTCATATTTACCATAGGTTATGGCTGGGCAATTTGATTTAATTTTAAAAATCTAACATTTCTATTTGTTTTGCATTTCGCTTATGCGTAAATGTCAGCCAATTCAAATTCCCTTAAAAATCACAGAATACTTTTATAAATGACATGCAACAACATTGTCAAAAGTGGTTCCTTGTTGATGATGATGTTAAAATTATAGGATATAAAAAAAACAACAAGGTTTCTTGTAGGGAAGTTAGCAGAAAGCGGAGAAAGGCTTGCTGCTGGGAAACGCAGTGTGAACTGTGATAGTAGACCTTCGGCCCCACTCAGTGGATTAGAGTCGAGCTCAGAAAATCGACAGCCTGACACCTGATAGCTTCAGTGTAGCGCACAGTTTGGTCAGGAAGACGGGAAGCTGGCGTTGTTAGTTTGGAAACATGCGGCGGAAAGAGAACACACCGTCAACAGCAGAAGATCAACTCTTTCTCACTGACATTAGCGGACGTGTAGTCCTACTGAGAGAGCCCCGCGCCTAACTCGCGTAGCCCATCAGGCGCATTTTATGGAGATCTATAGATGACAAAACCTGCACGCTGCGGGTTGCTCTCAGCATCTACCGGGATCTTTCAACATGGCGAGAGGGATGAGAGGAGCTCATCTCCTCGCTCTATTTTTCACCTTTTTAATAACACTTTTCGTGGACGCAGATGGACAAGAGACTTCTAATGGCTTAACAGGTTTTAGTTTGAATCCTCCGTATTTCAACCTCGCTCAGGGGACTAGTATCTCTGCCACAGCAACCTGCGGTCAGGATGAGTCTGGGACACCGAGATATGATTTATACTGTAAACTTGTCGGAGGACCGACCGGAGTCCTTACTCAAAATATACAGGTAAGAAAAAGCTGGATGCGATCTCACTAAAGCTTTCGGTCCGTGCGTAAAGGTGAATAACAGCAATGTGCTTGCACTGAAAGAGGACATTACATTGTAGTCGGATACATATAGTGAACATTATGTTATATTCAATATATAACCATTAACAGAAAGTATGTTTAGTTGTTTTTATAAAGATTGTCCCTCATAAATATTCTCTGTGTGTTTGTAAAAGCTCTCGCCCGACCAAGTTGTACAAGTGCCAGAAATAGTTTTACACCATTGTAGTTGAGTTTTCTAAAGGAAATGCCCTTTCAAAAGTGGTCCTGTCCCCTCAGGAGTTATTCTGAAAGGCCCTACATTGCTGTAAGAAGACTTTGATGTGGGCACCCACCAACTTTTTTCTAAACTTAATATTCGCTTGTGGTTGCAATATTTTTCATACTCACATTTGGGTTTGTTATTTGCCAGCGGCTGCCTCCATTATAAAAGCCACTGGCAGTTTGCTGCAATCACTTGATTGTTTATGTTTCTGAATTGCAACAATGTGACACTATTTAGGGTCAGTTCTGTGACTATTGCAACACCGCTGACCCAAGCAAAGCCCACCCGGTGACCAACGCCATCGATGGGACGGAGCGGTGGTGGCAGAGCCCTCCTCTCTCCAGAGGACCGGGCTACAACGAGGTGAATGTCACCTTGGACCTTGGACAGGTGAGATTATCATACCTTACTCTGCTATGCACAGCTGTTTACCTGCTGCTACCTGCAGTTTGAATGATGATTGCTGTGTGGTGACAGTAAAATATAGCGCTGGGATGTTACTGAGGCAGTTTGAAGGAAAGTGTTTTCTGCTTTGGTCTCTGCAGCTTTGATATGATATGAGCTATGTCATTTGTGAGAGGTGGGTAGCACCATCACTGGTGTAAAATTGGAAATTGCAATCTTTTTTTTGCACCATGTTCTCCTTCAGCATTGTGTTTTGCTGCTGCTCATTTGTTTTGGGTATATGCAAGGATAAAGTTGCCTGACACATGGTGTTTCATTCACAACATATCCTAAAGGTGTTACATGATGATATTTTCAGTTTGAGCTTCATCACCTCAGCCAGCAGTGATCATGTGAATAATGGGCTGCAGTTGGGTGCTTGCCAGGAATCAGATTCACGCCCCTTTGGCCAGCGAATATGCTTCCATCATGACCCGTGTCTCTGGCAGGAGTTTGGCTCACGGCCCATAAAATTGCACCTCACGCTCAATTATCCACTGTGAGGAAAGAGAGGAATTCTGTCTTGGGATTAGGGATCAGAAGGATGTGAAATCAGATTCAGGGGAGCGCAGGTGGAGGCATGGACCTCTTGTGTGAGGAAGGGTTTTGACCAGTTTTGGAGTAGACTTCAAAAAGAGAGCAACAATTGAGCTCCTCTCTACACGTGTTGCATATTTGGCTCCCATTGGGCACTGTGTCAGACAATGGGTGTTGGCTTTTCTATCTCTGTTTTTAGACAGACCGAGCTGAGCAAAAGATCCTGCACGGTTAAATATAGTCCACACTTACAAGAGGATGGACACATGCAGGGCCTGTAGGGATGTCTGACTTTAATACGTGGTAATGCTCAGTTTATTTGGGAGTGGGGAAAGTAGCGTTATTGCATTATGGTGTGCTAAAAAGAGCATGGCTAGATCTCCTGACGGTGACTACTAACCACCCAACACTCTGCCCTCCCTCACTACAACACCACCACCTCACCACATACACACACACACACACACACACACACACACACCTGTCACACACATTTTTCTTTTCATAGCATCTGATGCAACCACCAAGAGTGTAAACAATGCTCACCTGCCACCATTTAAGCCATATGGTTGTTTTAGCACTGAAATTCTGTGAAGAAAAAGGGCTCAGCATTCTTCTTTACTGAAAACAACAGATTTAGCAAGCACTCCTATATAAACAGAAGAAAGAAAAGACTGAAAATCAATACAGTATCACTGCTTATATTTAAAACAGATAATGATTTGGGTTTGGAATGAAGTTTCCTTTAGGTGGAGTTTTATTTCCCAACCAGTGTGCTTTATTGCTCTCCTCCACCCTACAAATACAAGCTCATGTATTAACCAAGACAGGAATAAAGCTGTCAAGTTGTTTGATTGTTCCACGTGAAGCTTTGAAAGCTTTGTAGATTAAAAAAAAAAAATCCACAGGGATAAATTATGTGTTCAATGATTTATGTGGGTGAGACCTAGCTGAATGGGGTTGTGGTTTTCTTTCAAGACCAACGCAGGTGGCTGTTCTGCTGTTATCTGCGTGGCTCTCAGTAGATATATTAGATAATGGCAAAGTTGATGTTTATGTTAAAAGGGTGAAGTTCAAAGAGAGAGCTGTTTCCGTTTTTTCTGTGAAGAGGGTTGTTTGAAAAAGGGTCTACCAAGTTTAAAGCTATCTGACTAACTCCATACTTTCTCAGTCAAATTAAACCAGAACTGGGCATGAAATACCATTTTCAGCATTATTAGAAATAAAATCTTTTGGAGGTGTTGGTCTCTCGGACAGTCTGTAATTTTGGTCCAGACTGACATATCTCAAAAACAGTTTGATGGATTGCCATTGATGGTCTCCAGAGAATGAACCCTATTGACCGTTTGGTGTTTTGTCCCCATGGCCTGCTATTGTAAACATCATCATGTTTGTATTGTCATTGTGAGAATGTTAGCATGCTGATTTACCTCTTTGCACAGAGCTGCTAGCAGGGCTGTAGTCTAGTCTTGTTTTCACTCAATCTATCTTCAAATCTTGGTGCTACTACCAGCCCAGAGGCTGAGGGCTTCTAGTGACATGATCAATCTCTAAATCGTCTCCAGCTCAGAGCTCTCCTCCCGATAAGCCATGTGTCTCAGACAAGCCAATGCAAGCAGGTTAGCTGCTCTCTGTTTTTGTGACTTTTTGGCTTTTGACCCGTGACCCATGACAAATCCTACCTTGAGTGAGGAAATAACCTCAATGATCTTCAGCTTGCTTCTGTATGGATTAGGATGATGTTTGGCATAAAGCTGATTAACCTCTAGAGTAGTTGGCAAAAATAGTTGTTTATGCGAGGACAGATTGTTGATTGTTAAAGCTAATACAGCTTTTGCCTTGTGTATGTTTATCTCTTTTTCATTTTGTTCACCCAAATGCATTCATATGTCAAGAACCAGTGAACCATTCCTTGTCCATCCAATTTAAAGTTTAAAACCACTTTTCCAGGAAATTGTGCCCTTGGTAAACTATTTGCAGGACACAGTAGGCAAGCCATTGTTCTGGTAAACATTTACACCACGTATCAGACATGTCAGTCACTCCTTTTTTCTGGGGAATGTATTTTAGGAGCCCTGACTGCATGTGCTTATCTGCCTGAGTGAGCCCAGAGTAGACCATGTGAGGCAAACATACCGGGGCTTACTGCTGTCTGTCTCTCATCTGATGAGACTGAGCTGCTTTTGAATGGTTGGTGTCCAGTACTCAATGAACATCGGACATTACTGGTTTAAATGAAGTTCTGTTTAGTCACTGGATTGTTGTACAAGGGACTTGACTGGTATTTTTATGTT